AGATTGCTTCTTAAATTCCCCGTTCCCAAACAATCGGTGGCAGATATGTCACAAGAGGGACGTACAGCTGGTTTCACTTTGCATCTGGTCAGCCTTATCAGAAGGCGCATACTTGCATTTCGTGGCGCTTCTGTAGTGCCTACAGCCCGTTTTATCTAACAGGGCACATTCCCACCCTGCTGCGCGTGCTCGGGATGGATGGAAAATAACCATTTGTCTTTCCCAAAGTGATCTCTAACCTTTCCCGTACAAATATACTGATTAAAAATTTGGGTCAAAAATCTGCTTTTGTTTAAGACACCACCTGTTCCAGTATTATAGAAAGGTCAAAACCAATTTCAGCAGCAGAGCAACAGAAAGCATAAAGGAAGGTTTATTCAGAAGATACAGAATGGGATCTATTATAACTTTAGTATAATCTGGACTATTGAAAGAATAAGTGTGATATTAATCAGGGTAGGCAGAACTGTAGACAAGAGCAGTAAAGCAGTTAAGGAGAAGAAAAAAGACCATCTACCTTAGCTGAAGATGAACCTGTTGATGTCGGATGCACTGATGTGTATGAAAGAAAGAGAAACCTAACCAAAATATCAGTAGGAAGATGACAGGTTGGGAGGCCTGGCTTCTAGTCATTTCCACTGTATTTATTCTAGACAAGTTATTTAATGTTTCTTTTTTATTTGTTTGGGGAGGAGGAGTTTGTGGGGGGAATGGCAGCTTGGTTCTATTTTGATTTATCCATAAAATAAAAATACATTTGCCTAAACATGCAAACAAGCAGTTGTGAGAATTTGTGAATGACTGCCTTTGTAGTGAAGAAGTTCATGGAAGCAAGTTGGAGGGCTGAGGTATTTTCTCTTATCCTAGCATTATGCCTAGTATCTCAAGCCTTGAGTGCTGTTGGAGTAGTTGGCATCATCTGGGTATAGGAGTGCTGCAGGCAGGCTATGTCCCCATTTCCTGAACATAATTGTGATCCTGTCTCCTGAAGATGCCTCTTTAGGGAGAGGATGGAATGCCCTATGACCAGTGAATAAGTTTCAAGGCATTTTGTTGTTAAGAGTTGTTGTTAAAATCACAGATTCACAGAATGGTTGAGGTTGGAAGGGACCTCTAGAGATCATCTAGTACAACCCTCCTGCTCAAGAAGGGAATCCTAGAGCACGTGGCACAGGGTGGCAGCCAGGCAGATTTTGAAGAAACCAGAGAAGCCAGTCTCCTTCCAGAGAAGGAGACTCCACAGCCTCTGTGGGCAGCCTGTTCCAGGGCTCTGTGACCCTCACAGTAAAGAAGTTCTTCCTCACATGGCGACGGAACTTCTAGTGTTTCAACTTGTACCCATTCCTCCTTGTCCTGTCACTGACCACCACTGAGAAGAGTTTGGCCCCATCCTCACTACACTCACCCCTCAGGTATTTATACGTATGGATAAGATCCCCTCTCGACCCTGTCTTCTCCAGGCTAAACGGGCCCAGCTCGCTTAGTCTTTTCTCATAAGATAGATGCTCCAGTCCTTTAATCATCCTCCTGCCTGGGAGGGCTGGACCCTCTCTAGAAGCTCCATGCCCCTCTTGTCCTGGGGAACCCAGAACTGCCCCCAATCCTCCAGGTGCGGCCTCACCAGAGCTGAGGAGAGGGGCAGGATCCCCTCCCTCGACCTGCTGGCAACGCTCCTCCTGATGCAGGCCAGAATCCCACTGGCTTTCTTGGCCACAAGGGCACGTTGCTGACTCATGGTTAACTTGGTCAACCAGGACTTCCAAACCCCTTTCTGCAGAGCTGCTTTCAGCAGGTCAGCCCCTAATCTGTACTGGTGCCTCCCCAGGTGCAGGACCCTGCACTTGCCCTTGTTGAACCTCATGAGATTCCTCTCTGCCCAGCACTCCAACCTGTCTAGGTCTCTCTGAATGGCAGCACAGCCCTCTGGAGTGTCAACCACTGCTCCCAATTTGGTGTCATCTGCAAACTTGCCGAGGGTGCACTCTGTGCCCTCGTCCAAGTCACTGATGAACAAGTTGAAGAGCACCGGGCCCAGTACTGATCCCTGCAGGACACCACTGGCCACAGGCCTCCAACTAGACTTGGCCCTCTGGTCTCTGACAGCCAGCCAGTCCTCAGTCCACCTTACTGTCCACTTGTGCAGTCCACGCTTCCGGAGCTTTCCTATGCAGTTGTTAAAGAGTGTTTGTGTTGTTATTTTTTATCTATCTTTAAGAGTTTTTAGAACAAATATCTGGCATGTTTGAATCTGTGAACTCTAGGCATTTTTCTAGCTTCTGGTTAGTAGTGTCCTATATCCAGGCATCTAAAATAATATAAGCATTTTGTGAAGCACGGGCTTGGACATTCTAGTTTTCCTGAGATTCATCTTCCACCTTCAGCAAGTGGAGAGCTGAAATCCCCTCCGAGCGCAGGCTGACCAATCCCTCAAAGCTGTGTCGGCAGTTAAGCACAGGCCTAACTTTGGATGTGCTCAGCTAGGGACAGCATGTCTGGTGCCAGGTATGGGCACGGGGCTCTAGCAATGCACTGCTCCAGAAAAACGTGAAGCAAGTGGGTATCTCTACAGAGGCAAGTTTTAATAATATAAATATAGCACAAGTATGACCAAAAAAAAAAAAAAGAAAATGTTCCTGATGAGCCTGTACATAGTATAAGTCTTTATTCTCACTTCCTAGCAAAGGCATCAAAATTGAGAGGTTTAGTATCATGTGGCAAACCTCATCTCATCCTCATCAAACCTCATTTAGCATCATTTATAACACCTTGTCCTGTAGAAGAAACTAATAAACGTCTAAATTATAATTATTGAATTTATAACAGCTATCCACTAATGATAGAATAGTGTGGGCATATGAATGCATTAAAAAAAGCATAAATATTAGATGTCTTGCATATTTCCCAATAATTCAAACTGTGAATGCAGTAGTTTTAATAACTATGTTCACTGCGTCTCTGAATGAAGACTTAGCTGGACAGCATGACATGTCACATCCTAAGATTATGTGTGGCAGTTACATTAGCTCTCCTGTTTGGTTAAAAAAAAAAAAAAAGGGAACCAAGTGTTGTGTGTAGCCCTGTAAGCTTCTTCTGTATGGACAAAAAGAGAACAGACAGTGTTCCCAAACTAATGATTACTGACCATTACTGATGCATATGACGATGTGAGGGGGAAGAGGGGAATGCTAAATGTGGGGGTTGTTAGTGCCATGAAGTGATAAGCTATGTCATTAAGAGTCAGCCTATCCTCCAATTCCAAGTACAAATGCCACGTGTTGGTGTGGTACCACTGATATGCTGTTCTAGGCTGAAGAAGATAATCTTGGCCCTTCTGGGGAAAATAAAACAGTTCTGTTCTAAACACCCCAAGAAGCCTGTTTTCTGCAAAGTGTATGTCGTGCTGTGAACTTTACTTGCTCCATGTGAGTCATTTTGGTTCAGATGAGGCCCCCTTTAAAACTGAGCCCTGGCTAAGGGTATAGGTCCACAAAAACTAGCTTCAGTGGTGAAGCTAGTGTAGTCATTCCTACTGGCTTCTTTTCCTGTCTCTTGACCATAATTCATGGCTCTTTCATTTATGCTGGTTCAAATCACTGCTCTGTAAACCTGGTCACTGTGTTTCATGGAAATTTTTTTTTCCCCTCACATGTTTTTGTTTCCCCTGAAGACTGTGGCCTTACAGAGAATTGTGATAGCCTGAGCAAGGAATAGGAAAAGATAGCTGAAGTGGAGGAGGAAAAGTGTGGAAATTTCTAATGTGTAATGGAATTTCATAGCAGGCTGTCCAAGCCTGGCTCGGAAGAAGACAGTAATGTGGGCATATATTTTATTTGAAATGCAAGCAAAATTCATCCAAGTGATAAAGTGTTTAGGAAAAAAGTCTGACATGAAGGAAAGAATACAAGCAAAAGACAAAGTGATGAGAAAATGGGGAATTAATGATCATACATGCAACACATAACAAAAACAAAGATCTTGAGTTCTACAGGCCAGATACATCAGGAGTGACATCCAGAAGCCAAGAGAAAAGTCTTGTGGATATCTACTCCATTATCCTTGTATAAAGGACTAGGAAAAAATATGCAGGGTTGAGTGGTGTTTTTTTGTTGGTTTGTTTGTTTTCCCTAAGTGTGCCAGACTGCCCAGAAGAGTCCATGAAATCTCTTCCAAAAAACACCTACCAGCATCAAAAGGAATTAGTAGGATAGCAAGTTAATTGATGTTCCATCTTAAAGGCAGCAAAAAATAGCCAAGGCTTTGTGTGCTTTCCCTTAAAAAAAAGTCTTAGTGTTTCTGAATACATTAAGAAAGATTACTTGTGATGATCTCAGGGTAGATGGTTTTGAGCTTGAAGATCTATAAAAGAAAGGGAAGATGATCTCTGTTGCAATGTGTTTAAGAAGATCTTAAAACCTCAATTGCAGAAGAGTTCTGTTCTCATTTTTGTTCAGAGAATCTTGACTATGAGCAGCTGGAAGGGGAACTAATATTTAGTCAGAATGTTCTTAGTGTTTTTTTTATGTATATCAATGTGTGTTTAACTCAAATGCCTAATGCACATTTGGCATAAAATGTTGCTTTTCAAAAAGATAGACATGCTTATTTCTGCACATGTGGCATTAGTCAGTAGTGGCCGTAGTACCAATCTATGTCTAAAACCTTTCTCCAAATCCAGACAGAATATCGCTAAAATAAAAATAATAATAGTGGTTTCCAGCTTTTAGATCATCTCTTCATACAAATACAGCAGTAAGGGCTTGTGTATTTATAAATAAAAAAGCTAAATGTTTAAAATTTAATAAAGACTTTTTTGAAGTAATCATATGACTTCACTGTAAAACAGAGCATTTCAAACAATATATTGATATAACTTTTTTTTTCAGCTTGTGATAAGCAATGCAGGAAGTGAGGATTAATATCCTCTAATGTTTGCTTTGATTCTGCTTTTCAGTTGTGTGTAATTTTATTTAAACAGTTTTATTTAAACTGTTCTTAGCTCGATGTACAGGATGATTGATAAGAATTGGAAAAAAATTGGTTCCCCTTATTCCAAAATTGGACTCCGGAGGGAAAAAAAGAAGAATGTCCAGGGTAAATTGGCTGTGAGGAGAAACAAGACTTAAGACCTATGAGTTTTAATTAACAGGTGCTGTTTTGGCGATGATAACATGCCTGTTACCCCCTTTCTAAAATTTCTTACTCATTTGTCTGCAAACTCTCTTTAGATGTGTTCAATGAAGATTTATCAAATCTCTTGCCTGAGGTTTGTGCTGAATCCACCTGCCCTGAGTTCCCTCCATTTGGTCACAATCCTCTGTGTAAGGACAAGGGGTACCTTCCAGCTGCCAGATAACTGCTGTGGCAATGAATGCTGCCATGGAACATGCATCAGCTATGCTATTGCTTTTCCAGCAGAAAATGATGCGTATGTGCAGAAAGCTTGATTTTTTTTTTATTGAATTTGGTTGCCAGAGGAGCCTTATTGTGCTATATGCTATTTCTGACTGCTTGAGTTTGAAGGACTCAGTGTGACTTGTAGTAACTATTCTGCTTCCATCTTCTGCTTACAGGGCATGGCTTTTTTGGTTGCAATATATGCAGAGTATGAGCTGTGGTATGGAAATTGTGTTCTTCTGCTGTTTAATGATGTTTTGTGTTTCATTTGAATGATACAGTGTTGGTTCTCAGGAAAAATTGAGTAATGGAAGTCCTCCGTGTTACAAAATGTGTCTTTGTTTTTCAGTTTTGAAAACAGAGGAAGTGAAGCCATAAACTTAAAGAGCAATCAGAAGGAGAGCACAACTCTTCCAGCACTGCTAACGGTATGACTTTTGTTAACTAATTTTTAATTGAACTAAAACATGTCACATCTGCTCATGTCATTTTTTTCTCCATTTTTCTAGTGTTGGATTTATTTATTTATTTATTTATTTATTTTGGTGCAGCACCTAGTTACTATATTCTAGATTGAGGTCCATATTATGCTAGGTATTATTGTGCATGCAGAACATAAACAGATTGTCCTGCCTTCAGGTTCCCACAGTCAGATTAAAGAAGTGGTAGTCTAGTGCTAAGTTAATATGCAGTCAGCAAGCTGAAGAGAGAAGCCCTATATTTTTATCAAATGATACTTTCAAGCACTCTCCTAAGCACTCTCCTTTCTGTGCACCTTGTATATACTTAACCAGCCAGGCCTTGTACGAATTTCTGCTGGTTGTCAAACAAAGCACCACGAGATCTTTCTGCTGAAACACACACATGTGTTGGCTTTTGTTCTTCATCAATGTTTCATGTTACTTGTGCTCATCTTGTCCTTTAAGCATTTTCTGCAAAAAGGAGTCACGATTCCAGGCAGTTAAGGCTTCATGTGATGACTGCATGCATGAAAGCTGTGTTCAGATTTAGTCAAAAATTTTTAGTAGTTATATTCAGGACAGGGCCTGGCAGTACAGCCTTTTTAAAAGTTTGTGCCGTCATGTCCTGCATGGAGCCATTTTGGCCACATTTGGCCACGAATGTTCATCAGGCATTTTTGCTCAGTTATTTATTTCACTTCCTAGAAGTTGTAGTTTAATGCAGATAGTATTGGTGAGGTCCCCTCAGTAAGGGCCTGAACTGAGTCCACCAGACTTATTTGTTGATGTGGTAGCCTTCTTAGCAGACTGAATCTGAGATGTCTTTCCTGTGTCACACTTGTTAGTGCTGACTGCTAAGTATATGGAGAAAGAATGGGTCGTTTGCCCTCTATGGCTTACAGGCTCTGTCTAGTCAGCTCTTCAGAATCTGGGAATATTTTGGTTGGGTTTTGCCAGAGGTGGCATATTGCAGTTACCTCTACACAGACCCAGCCTGAGCTGAGAGAGCTATTAGGTCAGGTGCAATTCCATGTTGAATAGGAATATTCTGCATCAAGGCGAGAACCAGGGCAGTGACATTTGTTTGGAAGCCTGGTGGATTCAAGCCAGCCCAGGCAGTACTGAACTCCTGCTACACAACACCAAATTCATTCCTGTCATCATAAATGACAGGCTGGTGACTCTATAGTTTGAGACACATGCAGACAGGATCCTGCTTAACCAGGTGAGAGTCTACTCTAATAAAAGCAACTTCTGTGCAATTAAAAACAAATATATTTTTATGTTATTAAAAAAAACATCTAAAGCAGATTAACCTTTTGAAGAAGTTTTTGATTGGGGAAGGGAAATCATTTAGCATACATGTAGAATACATGTAGCATACATGGGGCATGCTAAGTTTATAGGTCTTACAGAAGAGCTTAAAATAAAGCATGAAGAGAGTTAGGTTTCAAGGAACAAGCAGCATGAATGGATGTATTAAAGGGAGCATAGCAGGTTAAGTGACCTAAGATATTTTCTTTCTTGCATAAAAATTGAATCTCATTTGTTTTTTAATAAAAATGCTCAACTTCACAAGCTTTCCTAATGAATCTAAATTCATTACATTCAAATTTACTCAGAACTTGTTGTGCTTTTGTAATATTATCCTAAAAAAATGGTGCCATTATGAATGCTGTGCATTTTTTCCAAGTATCCAACCTGATCTTTGTCTTGCCACTGTGACTTTTTTTAAATTACTTTGTCTTTATGTTCACCATTGCAAAGTGTTGCAACATGCATTACATTATTTTGAAGTAATGTCTTGTGTTTGTATAGGCTTTGTAAGAAATGTGTGCTTTTCAAACTGCATTTAAATGTGTTGAAAGCATTCTGTCTAATTTACTCTTTCTTAAGTTGATAATAAAAACATACTGATATACCTTAGAAGTTTGGTTTATGTAGTAATGAATACTGGAAGCACTAATATTTTATGTCTTTTGTGATGAAATTGTGAAGAGAGTCAAAAGTGATTTAGAGAAAGTGTTTTTAATTTTTTTCACCCAGCAATGAAAATAAAATTTCACCCCTTCCACCACCTTTTTTTTTTTTTTTAACTGAAGTATGTTTCTACTTTAAGTCATACCGTTGGGTGGCGACTAAAAGTTGATTCTGGCAGATGGATTCAATACAGTAAGTTAAAGATCTATCATGTTTCCATATGGGCTTAAGTGCCGTGATTTTTGTACAGATAATGGTGGTCCCAGCAGGAGGCCTGGGGTGAAATAGCGGGGAAACTGGCAGTCTCTTTCTAGCTTACAAGCAAAGGTCAGACATTTAAGTTGTAATGCCTGGGCAAGCTGAGCTGAGAAACATTCTGAGCTACCATAGCTCTTCGGCTATTCTGAGGACTTCAGCTATCAGTTCTGTACTTTATACCTTTATACTCAGTATTATTATTATTTTTTTCCTGTGATGAAATATTTAGCTCATCAAGGGAGAGAAACATATTCTAATATTTGTCTTATGAGAGTTGGTCTTTTATATTGATGCTGAGGTGACACTTTCTGTCACTATTTGATCACTCTAACAAAAATTGCAGAAATGTCTTTTCCATGTCTATTAATTCACTGCCAGGAAGTACACCATGGCCTGCTGCTGTTTGTTTACAGATTTTATTTTGTTTCTGTTCCTTTGCATTAGAGCAGTAAACATTCTTTCTGAGTAAATGCTCCATTAAATGGCATGATTGTTGAGCACATAGCTCTCTGGATGTAAATAGTTTCTGAACTTCATGTTTAGTGTCCTCTTTTAGGTATCTGCATTGCATGGTGTCCAGTACATATTAGTATATCATTAACTTAACTTTTAGTACAACAAGGACTTTGTTTTTAAAAGGAATTTTGCAACAGTGTTTCCTATAAAAATACCTATGTACATCTCTAGCAGCAGCTGGTAATGCTGTTAAAACTGTTACAGCTGAAATGTAGGTGTGGTTGACCTATGTGCAACAGCTACTAATTGAGCTAACACTACTGCTGGAGAATAACTTCTTAGTATAGTATTTATATAGTATAGTATAGCAATTTTTACCGAGGCTCCTACTTATATTACCATGCTGTAGCAATGATGACTGATGCTTGGGCTAGCTTAAAGAGTAGTGAATGGTTTAGGCCCGGCTTGCAGTGTCTGATTCTCTGCTCAACTGACCCTTTGCCGTGATAATGCAGGCAAATCATTTGCCTGCTGATTATCCCTGGATATCCTTCCCATAACAGTGCATGGAAGAAAAATACACACAATTATAACTGATTTGGAAAAAGCTCTTGAGCATCCCAGAGCAAGAACTGTAGTCTGAACTCTGTAAGGCAAGTTTGGAAAAAGTAAGTGGAAGTTTGAAAAAGTAAGTACAAATATAATATACAAAATATATATGTCAGACTTCAATTTTTCAATAATGTAAAATATTTTGTACAGAGATCCATGTGCTCAAGCCTGTGTGCTGATCACCTAGACTAACCGAACAGAGGTATAGTCTCGACCTCTGAATAAAATATGGGGACAGAAACTGCTGCAAAGATTATCCAGTCTACTCCTTTGCCCCAAGGTGAGATCACTGTATCTGTGTCACAGCTGAAAGAAGTTTGTCTAACTTGTTTTTAAAGACCCCCAGGGATGGAGATCTGGAAGATCTCTGCAGCTTCATCAGACAACTGTTCCACCAGTTTCATAATTCTTATAATTAGCAAGTCCTTTTCATAACATCTAATCTCAACATTCCTTGCATCAAATTAAACCATTTCCTAATTGTCCTGTGACAAGTATAGCTGTGTACCTGAATATGGAGAAGACATTATTCTGTAGCCCTGCTTTCTCACATGAATTTCACTTCCAGGTAACATAAAGATGGCTGTATTTAATCAGTAGACACAATATTTAAATGTGATGACAAGGAGTACAATTATTTGTGAACATGGAGCTAAAAGATCTTTCTCAGAGAGGTAACAGTAGGATAAGAGGCAATGGATGCTTTTTGGAACATGAAAAATTCCAGTGTAGCTATACAGACTTTTCCTTCTTGCTTTCTTTCTCCATAGTGGAGGTTAAGTATTGAAAGAGAATGGCCAAAGAATCCCAGAATGCCAGAATGGTTGAGGTTGGAAGGGACCTCTAGAGATCATCTAGTCCAACCCCTCTGCTCCAGCAGGGACACCTAGAGCACGTGGCACAGAGTGGCATCCAGGCGGATTTTGAAGATCTCCAGAGAAGGAGACTCCACAGCCTCTCTAGGCAGCCTGTTCCAGGGCTCTGTCACCCTCACAGGAAAGAAGTTCTTCCGCACATGGAGGTGGAACCTCCTGTGTTTCAATTTGTACCCATTACCCCTTGTCCTGTCACTGGCCACCACTGAGAACACTTTGGCACCATCCTCTTTACATTCACCCCTAAGATACTTGTACATGTTGATCAGATCTCAATTTTCTCTTCTCCAGGCTAAACAGACCCAGCTTGCTTAGTCTTTTCTCATAAGATAGATGCTCCAATCCCTTAATCATCTTCATTGACCTATGCTGGACCCTCTCTAAGAAATTCCATGTCCCTCTTCTACTGTGGAGCCCAGCACTGCACCCAGCACTCCAGTTGCGGCCTCACCAGAGCTGAGGAGAGGAGCAGGATCCCCTCCTTTGACCTGCTGGCAACGTTCCTCCTGATGCAGACCAGGATCCCATTGGCCTTCTTGGCCACAAGGACACACTAATGACTCATGGTTAACTTGTCCACAAGGACTCCCAAACCCCTCTCCGCAGAGCTGCTTTCCAGCAGGTCAACCCTTAATCTGTACTGGTGCCTGGGGTTATTCCTCCCCAGGTGCAGGACCCTACACTTGCCCTTGCTGAACCTCATGAGGTTCCTCTCTGCCCAACGCTCCAATCGGTCCAGGTCTCTCTGAATGGCAGCACAGCCCTCTGGAGTGTTGACCACTCCAC